AAAAGCTGGTCTCTGAGATTTCACCCTTGGCTGATACGATAGCCCTTTATCCTGACAGGGCCAAATGGGTTCTCACTGGCATGGACCACAAAGTAATACACCAGTTTACTCGGCTTTGCTGACTTGGAGGCATCATTTGAAAATATCTCCCATTTTCTTGACATGAAGCACGTCAAGAGAGCCAGCATCATCTGGCCATGTTCAGAGTAGAAAAGCGTGTTCTTTTCAATCTGTATTCCCCACTCTCATTCTATATTCAAATCCTGAAATTTGCACTGGCGAGTATCTCCTTCCTTTTTTGGAGGATGAAAAGGGTGGCATTCCTCTACTGCAGCGGTTCTCAGCCCTGATCATGTGCCAAATTACTTGGGGAGCTTTCCTAACCTCATATTCCCGGATGCCACACCAGGAGACTCTGGCTCAGCCAAGTGAAGCATGACTGACTCAGAAGCAGGGCAAGCTGGATGCCTGGAGTTAGGCATCAGAGAGCCCCTGGCGAAGGGGCCAACCAAGAACACAGAGTGCAGCAGGAGAGGGAAAGGAATCAGCAGAGGAAATAAAAAACCCATGTCTGGGGGACCCCAGAGACCTGGGTTTGGATCCTGGCTCTGCCACTTGCTGTGTGATCTTCCACAAATTATTTAACCTTTCTGAGCCTCACACCCTTTATTACCAAAAATGAGGACTTATCTCATGGGGTTGCTGGGAGGATGAACATGAGGTAACAGTTATGATGCACCCAGCATGGAGCCTTGTCTTCAGTGAGGGCTCAAGACACGGCAGTGCCAAGCACAGTCACTGCAGTGGTTGTGCTATTATCACTACAGCCTTGTCTTCAGTAAGGGCTCAAGACACGGCAGTGCCAAGCACAGTCACTGCAGTGGTTGTGCTATTATCACTATTAACAGGGTTCCACCACAGGGTTACTTCCTAGGGCTGGAGGCAGTGGAGGGGTTTCTGAGGCTGTTTCTCCACAGCATGTCCCTCTGGCTCCTGCTTCAGGAAGGAACCATGGGCAGGATGTCTAGCAGCCCCTCCATGGTCTGGGTGCAGCAGTGGGTGGCGCAGGCTCTAGTCTCTATCAATATCCCCTCTCCCCACGCCCACAATCAGAAAGACCTAGTGGCATCGCAGATGCTGGGAAGGGACATGTGCCTTTAAGTGAGAGACTGGAGTGTAATTCACAGACAAGTAGCTTTGGGTCAGAAAGGAAGGAATGATGGGCAGGAGAGGGTGGGTCAAGTGAAGGTCTAAAAGAAAAAGAAAGTAAAGTTATCCCCAAAGGATTTCTGGTAAATTCTTTTTATTTTTGATAAGCTTTCTAGGGACCAGGGTATATAGAGAAATTATAAGAAATAAGTCTTCTGAATTCATTCTACGCTTCCCAAATTTCCTAGCCCTAATTCCTCCCAACGACCCCATGAGATAAAGAACAATCAGACATAACCGTTGCTCCTGTCCCACAGAGTGGTGTCAAAGATTATAAAATGACTAGAAGTGACTGCACCTTGTTGGAATTTACAGGCTTCTTTAAAAGTACATTTTAAATCTCACTGATTAAGACATGATAATTCTATTTATCTTCTGAAAGTCTGGCCAGAAGTTTACTTTTTCACTGTAGCTGAGGGCGGGGGTGGGGGAAGGTTGCTAAGCTTGACACAAACTTTCACATAATCCTTCACTATTTAGGAGAATCAGCTTTGAGACACTTAGAAATGTCTTTTTTATACTGTATAATCAACTAGAATTTAGACAAAAAGCAGCCGCCCCTTGGCTAGGTTTTGATAGGTTTATTGCAAATAATTCTAGTTTCAAATTCTGAGTTCAAACAAAACAAAAAAACCAGCAGTAACAACAGTCTCCTCCCCACAGGGGACAGACTCCAGAATGACAGCTCGCGTTTCTCAGTAAATCTGTCTATTTTTTAATGCTCGTTAAAAACTATGCATAGAGGCTGCCTTGGTTAGGTGCTAATCCATCTTTAACACCCTTCTTCGAAAGGGGTAACTTCTTCCCATGATAAGAAGGGTGTGCAGAGCCCAGGGCCACCTACTGGTAGCACCGGGGCTGGAGTGGTACCAAGGGCAGGGCTGAGGAGGACCTGCCAGAACTCACAAACATCTAAACCACAAACCTGAGACTCTCTCATTACTTAAAAAAAAAATTAAAATGAAAATAGCAATTCTTTAAAGTGAGCTAGCTCAAAGATTTCTCTCATTTGTAAAAAGCCTTCATCTAATTGAATACATCTGTGATCTATGTCTGAATCTGTCATCTAGGCAAGAGCGGGGGCGAGACAGAACCTACCCTGTTTTTAAAAAAATCTCCAGGGAAGAAGACTTCTTAGAAACTTGTGTTGAAGTCTAATCATCTTGGTTATTATGAATCTTTTATATCCAATCTAATTTTCTCCCTCTTTATCCTTTAAGATGATTTCTTCCTTTTTGGTCTTTGAAAATAAAAACTGGTAAGGTCTGCTTCCTAAATTATAAGTGAAAACGTATCATGTCATCCCTTACTTTTTTTTTTCCTTTTTTGGCTGCGTTGGGTCTTTGTTGCTGCACCCGTACTTTGTCTAGTTGCAGCCAGTGGTGGCTTCTCTTGTTGTGGAGCACGGGCTCTAGGCACGTGGGCTTCAGTAGCTGTGGCTTGCGGGCTTTAGAGCGCTGGCTCAGTAGTCGTGGCGCGTGGGCTGAGTTGCTCCGCAGCATGTGGGATCTTCCCAGACCAGGGATGGAACCCATGTCCCCTGCATTGGCAGGAGGATTCTTAACCACTGCACCACCCTTAACCACTGTCCCAATCCCTTACTCTTTATGCCTCGTGGTAAAATAAGCCCGACTTGACGTGTATCACCAAGCAGACGGTATCGTCAGCCAGGGTTGCTAGGTGCTGTGCCTGATGACATGGCAGCTCTGGGTGTGAGGCCAGAAGGCAAAACCCTGTCTTCAGCTCAACAGCCAGGCTGGCTGGAAGCTGCTGGCACTGCCTGCGACAGGCCTAAGGCATTCTTCCAGGCTGATGGGAGTCACTGTTTTTCTCCACAGGACTCTTCCAGGTGGCCTTCCTCTGCCCATGTCTATGGGATTCTACACCTTCAGGCATGCTGTGTGCTGGTCATCTTCCCTAGAAAGGAATCCTATCTTATGAGTGGGTTGGGTTCTCCAAGTCCAAATAAAGCACAAATCAAAAACTGCATTTGATCAAAATTACCCTAAAAAAATTTCTCACTCATCCAGTTCAGTTCGTTGTTTCTGAAGCAATGCTTTTTGGCTAGAATCAGCACCCCAAGAGCAAAAAACTAGGCTATCCCACATCAGATAGACTCTTGCTGGAAGCAAGGAGGTCACTGATTAAAATGAAATCAACAGCTTTTAACTTTTTAAGTATCAGTTCCTTCGGTAGACTTTTCTTTTTGTTCACAGTAGGCCCCAGGCATGAAAGGGTTGGAAACCACCGACGGGCACATCACAGGGAGACTAAAAATGGAATACGGTATTTGAACTAAAACTGTATCTAACACATCTCAGCATGTCATCGCATATATGTTAAGTGATCAGTAAAAGTTTGGTGAATGACTGAATGGATGACTTCACCAATGACGAGGCGGGTTGGGCAGGATGGTTTGCTGAACTGATTGGAACAGAGAAGCTCTTGAAGACGGGACTGCACTGGGCTTCATCCCTAGAAAGAACTCTGCTTCTGAGGTCCAAAGGCTTACACTCAGCAACACTCTTCAGGCATGTGCTGAGGACCTACTGTGTGCCAGCAAGGTTTTCTGAGGCCTTCTGGACACGTGCTCTCACAACTGCCACCACGCTGGACACAGTACGATGAAGCAGCCTTGTCTAATTCCCTGAGTGACGTGAACTTGGGAGAAAAGAGGACATATCTTTTTTTTTTTTTTTTTTTTTTTTTTTTTTTGTTTCAGGGGTCC